TTTTGGAATTAAATGTTAAAACTTCTTGGTTCAATATATTCTTATTCTTCAAATGCTCAAACTTGTCAAAACACTTTTTATATTGGGACTTGAATAGCCATCCAGAACATTCAGTGCTCTGACCATTAAGATAGTGAGGCTGGTTCCTGACGTTCTTATTTGATACATTCTGTTTCTCTGGTGGGAACTTCATTTGGATTACATTTTGTCAAGTTGCATCTTTGATTAGTCAATGAAAAAACAAAAAAATGCTGTTAAAGAAGACAGCAATTATTATCATTAAAAAAAAAAATTATAAATATCTGTTTTGAGTTCTGGAGTATTGTTGAAAATAAATAAATATATGGCGCAAAATGTCCATTAGCCATTGAAGAGTGATAATTTATCGTTGGCGAGTAGAAATTCCGCATGTCATATAATGTAAAGATAAAAATATCAACGTTAGAGTGGTTTGTAAATGTCTCCAGAACATAAGTTTAATGATAGTGTCAATGTTAGTGTAGCATTACTGTTTAGTATAGTGGTATAGTGTGTTAATGTATTAAGGTAGTGTAGTAGTTCATGATTAGTAATAATGTAGTATAGAGGATCATGTTTAATGATTGTGTGGTGTAGGGGGTTAACATCTAGTGATAATGTAGTGTAGAATGTTAATGTGCAGTGATGTGAGTTAGGGTAGTTTAGGAATTAAGGCAATGACTTTATTGTAAGGGCAACACTGGGACATATAGTGTTGTCTCAGCTTAGTAGGAGTTACAATTCTAGCTATTACAGCTGCCATCTTTAAAATGGTGCCAGTTGCTGCTGAGGGGGACACAACTTCCACTAATCTCAGGCAGAGTGGAAAATAATTGTATGGATGACATTATGTGCAGAATCACTATATATATATATATATTCATAATTTGACAGATGGGAGGAATATTTCCGTCATTTCATCAAGAAGACAAAAGGCCGTTCGAGCTTTCCTACATGATGATATGTGAGGACACAATATCACAGGCTTACATTGATGATTACATGGCTCTCTCCATCTGTCTGCTACTGGAGGTTGGGAGAGTGAGATACTCCTCACACCATCTTCATAAACAAAAGCAGCCTGTGCTGTCACGAGACAGACACGCCAACTAATTGGTGCCGTCGACAGGCAATATTCTGTGTCAACAGCTCCAGTAACAGTTTGAAACAGCAATAATATGTTGGATGATGTTGTGAATGACACATATGTGTCTAATGGCATGCTGGAAATCTGACATAACTAGAAAAGACTTGCAAGAAATGTCGTTTGCGGCCCTCGCTTTTTCCCCCCCCTAATACTCGCAGGCTGCGAGATAGGGAGAATATTCCTCTTATTGTTGTAACACATCTTGTGCTGTATCATTACACATGCTGACAGCTTAATTTGAGACTTTTATAATGCCCAACTTTAAAATTAATCTCACAAATGATTTGTTTCAACAAGACACACAGGTTTCCGGAAAATTAACAGAAAATTAAATTGCTTTGTTCAGCTGGCATTATGCCAAGCAAAGTCTACTGTATGTTAATGTACTGCTTTCAATAAAATATAGGTGTTTAAAAAAAATAATTAAAAAAAATAACTGTTACATGTATGCCTTGGCAAAGAATTTAGAACCAGATCTTGAATTTTACTTTAAAATTATTTATTAATAATATAGTTATCACATACTGTAATATAGATACATTAGGAGCTGTGCTTATGAAAGTTCTGAGTAGCTCAAGGCTGCTCACTCTGTAGTGATGTGTGAGCAAGCTGTGAGGGATCTATGTGTAGAACTAGCTCAAGCACAGCTCCCTTGCATCAATGGAGACTATGGATCCCTATTTCCAGGACCTCAAAGAACATTAAAAGGCACAGGGAAGAGAATGAGCAGAGCTTAATTAAAGGAACACTATAGAGTCAGGAACACAAACATGCATTCCTGACCCTATTGTGTTACACCCACCATTTAGGTGATTTTCTCCATTAGCCCCCTTAGAAAAGGTGAAAACTCACCTTATTTCCAGCGCCGAGCGGGTCCGCGGATGTTGGCCCTCCCACTGGTCCGTCTCCTTGGTGACATCATCTGAATTGCCTCTTTTTAGCCAATCCAAAGCTTTCCCATAGGGAGAGCATTGGATTGGCTGAAATCGGCAAGGAAGTGGGGTGGAGGGCTGGGCCAAACGCTGTTTTAGCCAATCGGCTCCTCCTCATAGAGATGCATTGAATCAATGCATCTCTATGAGGAAAATGCAGTGTCCCTGTGCAGAACGTGGGGATACTGAATGGCAGTGCTGCTGAATGGCACTGAGCCAGGAAGCCCCATTCAGTGGCCATCTAAGGAGTGGTCACTTGGAGGTGTCCCTAGGGAACAATGTAAACACTGCCTTTTCTCTGAAAATGCACTGTTTGCATTAAATTGCCTGCAGGTAATGATTATACTCACCAGAACAACTACATTAAGCTGTATTTGTTCTGGTGACTACAGTGTCCCTTTAAGATAGTACGGCAAAGCGAGGGAATGAATGAGAAGAAGAAGAGGCATTGGAAGATATAACATGGATGGCTAGAGTTAGTGGCATGTAGAAAGGGGACATGAAAGTGGAGAGGAAGAGACGTGGATGTGGGATGGAGACATGGGAAGGAGAAAGGGATGCATATACACTCACTAACAATATGACAAATATCCTGTGCATTCACAAGCAGACATTCCACAGTAACACAACCCTTAATTTATACAAACACAAATTCCCCACAAATATGCTGCAGTATTCACTTGCAGACACGCAAGCACAAATATACCCCTGCATTCATACACTGACACACCACACAAATATAGCGTTAAATCACCATAGCCCACTGAATTAATAAACACATGTACACTCCACATATACAACCCTGCATTCACAGTCACTCACATTGCAAACAAATATCTACTGCATTCATAAATTAAACAAAATATTAATACAAATAAATGTATAATATAAACATAATTGATTCCTTACCTGAAGAATGTAACATATACACAAACATATTATTAGCTTACAAGAGATAAAATTCTTAATTTTATTACCATGGTAGTCCTTTCACAATTTTTTTTTCTTCTTACTCAAAATATGACCTGGCCACAGATGGGCATTAAACCAAAATGTGGTTCTTAATTTAAAAAAAATAAATAATGCTTTTTGTTTTTTGGTTGGAATTAGTACCAACAAAAACCTACTTGCACAAGTGTTTTTGTAACGAGCAATTCTGGGGAAAAAGTGGAACAATTGCCATGACAATCTGTTCCAACTGATTGTTTCTCTTCCTTAACTTCACCAAAAAAAAATCACAATTATTGCTTGAAATAAAGAAAGGACAAATATTGACTCGTGATGTACAGTGATAAAAAGCAAGATAGCCATGCCGATGTTATTTTAATAAACATATACATCCTCTTCAAAAAAGTTTTCATTTTCTCTCTGGACAAAATCCAATATATTTTTTAGTGAAAGTATGCCTTAGCTAATTTAGTGAGAAGAATTCCTGTTGTGGGCAATACAAAATATAAGCTTGAACGTGTGGGGTCTTTGAGAGCTCTATTTTCTTTTAGATCCATATATACACAACTTCACAATCAGAGAATGAGCCGTTGGAGGTCATTGGTTTCATTTAGCTGTTATTATACTAACATGACAAGTGGCCAAGGAAACATTGTTAACATAGATACCAACCTGTATCCATCCACCCAGTTTTGCTTCACTGATTTCCATTTTATGAAATAATGCGCCATGCTTCATTCCCAGTGTTAAAAATACATTTCTACGCTCAATTCATTTAGTTAAAGTAACATGAGTTTGCTAAGATTAAATGACAGGTAACACTTCCACTGCCAGAAAGGATTGTACAGTAATCCAACACTTGGCTGTGCAACAGGAAATATGAGAGTTCTGTTGCCCACGTAGGTAAAATTCCCAGATTTTACTATTAACATGACGTAAAGTCATGATTTTATTAATGACACGGAGGCGAGTATTATGCTATCTCTTTCTTACTTTATTCCTCAGCAGCAAAGAGAAATATAAAACTGAAAGAGAAAAAATGTAGATATGCAATAATAATAATAACAGATACAACCAGATCTGCCTAGTAACAGGGCAGCCAATCAGTCTCTAGGAACAGTCCATAAATCTCTATCCTTGTACTTCCACTTCCTCTTCTTTGCCTTCCGAACCGAAGACCCAAAGCAAAATATCCAAGCAGTAACTAAGAAACGTCAAACCGGTAGACATCAACAGACTGGAATCAAGCTGTAAAACAAAGAAATATGTGGTAAACTCCAAACTTAGGAACTGAGTGTAACATATCGAATATACGTGACCTGCAGATAAAGAGCATCATAATCAAAATCCATGTACATTTGTCACACTCTAGAACATCATATGCTCAATACAAGTACCTCATGTGTACTTACCGTGAGATAAGACGAACCCCCCCGATTGAACCCTAAGCGAAAACCAGACCCAGACCCACGGGAGGGTGGGTGGGAATAATACTCGCCTCCGTGTCATTAATAAAATCATGACTTTACGTCATGTTAATAGTAAAATCTGGGAATTTTATTAATGACACGGAGGCTCCTATTATGCTAGTTTAAAGCTGAGCCACAACCAATGAAGAAACATGTTCAATCGGGCGGAAGTAAAAATCACGGAACGTAGATTCCTTAGACCAATCTGCCGCTTTCAAGATATCGTCTAGGCGACATCCTATCGTAGAAGCCTTTGATGCCATGGCACCCCTAACTGAATGAGCCGAAAAAACCGAAGTGTCGATACCCGCAGCAGAAAGGAGATCTTTAACCCAGCGGGCGAGCGTCGGCGACGAGACCGGTAGAAACGGTGCTTTCAAGGAAATAAAGAGTGGAGGCAAGTTAGTTGACCTCAGCAGCCGGGTACGATCCAAATAAACCTGGAGACAAGCCACAGGACACAAAGCAGGTCTGATGGAGCATCTAGGGTAGTCCACCGACTTGGAAGCCGACTTAGTCCTCCTCGAGATATTAAACGACACACCTCCGGGGGTGAACGAGACCGCGTTCCAGTCCAGAGCCCTGACGTCCGACACCCTCTTACACGAAAGTAGACACAGGAGCATGACCAGTTTCCATGATAACTGCTTGAGTGTCAAGTCCTCATTACAGGGCCAGGAGTCCAAGAATCCAAGGACGACGTTAACGTCCCAAAACGATGAGTATCTAGATCTTGGCGGTCTAGCAAAACGGATACCTTTCAACAAGCGGCACACGATAGGATGTTGTCCGATCGGAGATCCGTCTATCCCTTGATGTCCGGCCGAAATGGCTGATCTATAGACATTAAGGGTACGATAAGCCAAACCAGAATCGAAACGTTCCGTCAGGAAATCAAGCAGCGCATTTAGAGGGGCAGAAAGTGGATCCAGCAATCTTCCCAAGCACCAGCCAGACCACACCCGCCATGCGGTCCTGTAAGCCGCTCTGGTACCTGGTGCCCAGGCATTCTCCAATAGTCGAGCAGTTGTCTGCGAAACGTCCGTGACACACCAGGGTCTCCCGAGATTAGCCAAGCCGTGAGTTGAAGTAAGTTCTGATCCACCAATTCGTGCAATTTCCCATCCGGATCCAGAAGCACATCCGGCCTCATTTCGATTATCCGTGGGAAATCTATGGCCATCTCCAGAAGGCGGGGAAACCACGGTTGAGAGTGCCAGAGCGGAGCTACCATCACTATCGTGCAATTCTGTCCGGCCGAGTACGCCAGTGTCCGGGATATCAGGTTGAACGGTGGGAACGCATAATGGCGTCCCGGCGGCCACGTCTGCAAGAACGCGTCCACTGCCGTGGCCGCTGGGTCCGGTCTCCAACTGAAGTACTGGGGTAGTTGGGTGTTCAATCTGGACGCGAACAAATCCAGGTGAAGTGGACCCCACAACCGTTCTATCCTTTGAAATGTTGAGGACAGCAAGTGCCAGTCTCCTGAATCCTTCAGGTAGCGCGAGTTCCAATCCGCCCACTCGTTGTCCAGACCCGGAATGTGCTCGGCCGTAACCGATACGGCATTGTGTAGGCAATACTGCCAGAAATCCTTTGCCAAGTTCGCCAACTGCTTCGATTTTGTCCCCCCGAGGTGGTTTATGTACCTGACAGCGGACACATTGTCCATACGTAGGAGGACGCAGCAATTTCCCTGCGTCGGAGATAGACTTCGAATGGCAAACGAACCCGCCAGAAGTTCCAGGCAGTTTATGTGCAGAGCCGATTCGATCTCTGACCATCTTCCACCGGTGGAGACACCGCCACAGCGAGCGCCCCAGCCATGCAGGCTTGCATCCGACTCTATTATCATATCCGGCGCGGAGCCGAAGATCGCCCGGCCGTTCCAGGCCTCCATGTGGTCCAGCCACCACCTTAGTTCGTCTCTGGAGTCCCCGTCCAGGGTCAACACGCTCTCGTACGAGCCCCCTGAGCGAAGATGGGACCCTTTCAAACGTTGGAGTGCTCGATAATGCAGTGGGCCCGGAAAAATTGCCTGAATCGATGAGGCCAACAGGCCGATCACCCTCGCCAATTGCCGGACGGAGAGAGAGGTGGCTCGCAGCGCCCGTCGTATCTCCTTTTTCATCGATCGGAGTTTTGCCTCCGGGAGGAACAGAAACTGGGTGACTGAATCGACCTCGAAGCCCAGGAACTCTATCCTTTGTACCGGGGTCACAATGGATTTTTCCCAGTTGACGAGGAAACCTAGTCTCTCCAGGAGACTCACCGTCCATCTCAGGTGCCTGAGAAGTTGCTCGGGGGATGAAGACATAATCAGTATGTCGTCCAGGTAGATAATCATGCGGACCCCTCGTGCCCTGAGGAAGGCCACCACGGGCTTCATTACTTTCGTGAAGCACCACGGAGCTGAAGATAGACCGAACGGCAGACATGTAAAACGCCATCGACGACCTTGCCACGTAAAATGCAATAAGTCCCAATGCTCTTCTGCCATGGGTATAGTCAAGTAGGCATCTTTGAGGTCTAGTTTGACCATCCAGTCTCCCTGACGGAGCAGGTCCCTGAGACAATGAGCGCCCTCCATCTTGAAGTGATGGTAACATAGGAAAGAATTGAGGTGTTTGAGGTTTATCACTGGACGTACGCCTCCGCCTTTCTTGGCGACAAGAAACAGGTTGCTTAGAAATCCCGGGTGTCCGTAGGGGATTTCTTGAATAGCTCGTTTGGCAGACAGTTCCGCGATCTCTGCGGTAATTAATCCGGCCTGTTCTGCTGGTAATTTCAGCTCCTGTGGGAGAAACGTCTGGACAGGGGGAGACAATAAATCCAGGCGGAAACCCCTGACCGCACTGAGAACCCAAACATCCGTGGTGATCATACCCCACACATCGAGAAACAGTGCCAATCTGCCCCCCACACTCGTTCTGCAAGATACACGTGTTGGTGTACTCACCGTATGGGCGTCTGTATGAGGGTTGTCCACGACCTCCCCGACTCTGCCATGGTCTCCCCCGTGAGGGAAAAAAGGGCGTTGGCTTATAGTCTTGGTAGGTCCGGGGGGCGGAAAAGGAACCTCTGTGAGTCCTCGTGGGACCTCGAGCTCCACGGCCGGGCGGACGGCTCCTATACCTCCCGGCCCCATGGGAAACCTTAGGGCCGAACACCCTCTTCAGGTTGGACTGCGCCTTATCTAGCGCGGTAAAGGTACGGACAAAGGAGCCTAAGTCCTTAACAAAACATTCTCCGAAGAGCATACCCTTGGCCGAAGCACCAGGCTCCTTCACTGCCAGGTTAACTAACTTGGGCTCAATTTTGAGCAGAATCGCCTTGCGGCGTTCAGCCGACATGGCTGTGTTCGCGTTGCCGAGAAGGCAAATCAACCTCTGGACCCACCCAATCGCTTCATCAAAATCAATAGGCTTCGTTCCAGCCTTAGCCGCTTCCAGAAGCTCGTAAAGCTTGGCGGCGGGGCCCAGGGTATCCAAGATCTTGTCTTGGCAATTATGCAGCGAAAATTCCAGTCCTTTTCGGGGCTTCCAACCCGTCTTAGTTAAGAACTGAGAAATCTGGGGGTCAACCTCTGGCGTCTTGCACGCCGAATCAGGCACCGAAGGCCTTGGGCACTCGGCCCTCAGTTTACTGCGCCCCTCCTTGGAAAGGGGGGTACGCATACGAAGCGCCAGATAATTGGCAATATGCGCGGGCGGGTCCCATTCCGCCGAGCGGGGATGGCGAAGGTCATCGGGATCGAACAGGGGGTAACCCTGAGGATCACAGATGTCCTGCCCCTCACCCGGCGGAAGCGCCGAAGCGTCAAACTCCGCCTCATCGCCGGAAACCCCTTCCTCATAGGAGGCGTAATCAGGGGGATCCGAGTCTGACTCTCCAGTTTGATCGGTATCCGATCCATCATCATCTCGGGCACGTGCCCGTTTCCATTTTCTGGCCGATTTTGCCCGGCCAGCGGCTCTCTTGCGCGGAAACGCGCCATTTGGGACGGCCATAGGCACGTCGGTCAAGGCAGGTGTCACCTGCGTCATCTCTGGAGAGACATGTTTAAATTTTGTTTGTGCCTTGCGACCCGTATGAGGCTGCAGCGCAGGCAGGGGAGCAGGCAACACGGCAGGGCCCAAAGGTTGCGACAGCGCTTGCTGAATAGTGTGAGAGAGGGACGAGGACACTGTCCCCATGGCTGAAGCCAGGGCCTTCTGCATGGTGGAATCAAAAAGGGCCTGGAACTCCTGTGAGGGAGTAAGGCCCATACCCCCTGTAATAGGGGTCTGAGAGGAGTCCATAATGGGGTAACTGGGACTACCAGAACCCTCACTCCTAGCCTGCATAATTAACAGTGTCAAATAGAAACTGCAAGTACTGCCCCTTTAAATATCTGAGACAAGGAGCAGAGCAAATCTGTAAAACCTAAATAAACTAAAACAGGTGACAGAAAATAAACCTACACAGTATAAAGGGTTGAGTAACCCACCAGGAACAAACAAACTATATATAAATACTTGCACACAGTAATGGGAGGTAAAAGGGAGCCGACCCAGCCGCGTGGAAACAGAGGGTAAGATGGCCGCCGCGCGCAGAACGCGCCACGGCCGTTTCCAGGCTCCTCCCCCGCTAATGGGCGGGGAGCGCGACCACACACACGGCCGGCACTCCTCGCACCAGCGGGAGATCGGGTCGGCAGATAAGCGCGGCCGCACACGCGGCCGCGAGGGAAAGGGGACCAGGGAGCAGAGGGCTCCAGAATGAACCTCCCCTGCTAGCCGCGAACCCTGTCTGAAAGGGGAACGGCCAGACAGACAGGGGAAGCGGCGGGCAAACGCAGGGGAGGCAAACAATATGTACCACCAAACAAGGTATACCAATCAAAAGAACATCAACATAAAGCCTGTCAATAAGGCAAATAAAAGACAATAAGCAAACAGAAAACGATAACATAAAATAACACAGGCAAAAAACCTTAGTAAAATCCATCAATCAAAACCAAGTAGGAGAGAAAAATTATACTTAGCTGGTCTGAGGACAGCAGCAAAGAAAGAGGAAGTGGAAGTACAAGGATAGAGATTTATGGACTGTTCCTAGAGACTGATTGGCTGCCCTGTTACTAGGCAGATCTGGTTGTATCTGTTATTATTATTATTGCATATCTACATTTTTTCTCTTTCAGTTTTATATTTCTCTTTGCTGCTGAGGAATAAAGTAAGAAAGAGATAGCATAATAGGAGCCTCCGTGTCATTAATAAAATCAATATTATTATCCTATAATCCTGTTAACAAACAACAAATCTTGATTACTGAGTCTTACACTTTCCTAATGTCTACCGGCAGAATATGTATATAAAGACAATCAGTGTATCCCATTTATACCACAAAATCTCTTAACGATGTATATTTAAGTAATGCAACATTAGTTACAAAAATTCTCATAATAAGAACACAATGTCATAATATCCCACAAATACTTCATATGTTACTTAATTATCTTCTATTCAAAAAACAATATAGAGCATTTTTCTCATTTAACCCATTGGGTGATAATGCTCCTAAAGTATGGATCCAATATGCTTCACGTTTAAGTAAAGCCAAATCTCTATCCCCTCCTCTCGGGGAGATGGGTACATGGTCTATAACAATAAAGCGTAGAACTGCCAAATTGTGACTTGCCTCAAGGAAATGTCGTGATACAGGAGTCGTCGCTATTCCATCTGTTTTACTTGGAAGACTTCGCTCAACACAAATATTAGTGTTTCAAAACAGTAAAACATATCACAGC